GAACTTTGTTTCTCATTACAACAACGAACTTCTATTCATGAAAACTTATTTACTTATTTTAGAAATCAACATTGTTTATGGAAACTGTTATCAATATTCTGATTATCATGATTTCAAACTATATTATGTTATAAACATGTGAGTACTCACCAACTATTTTTATAGTTGACGCTCGTTTTACATGATTTTTCAGGAATCATCGAGTAAGTGGCACTTAGGGACACATCACTTTTAGGAGCATTCACATGTTTTGTATTTCAGTTTACATTGTAATTTCTTTTTAAAATTTGTTCAAACTCATTGTAAATTTGTAATGTTTTTTAATACTATGGTTGGTGTTGTCTTTTAACTTTTGCTATGAAACCCTTTATACTGCCACGACTCGTGTTTCCGCTTTAGCGGGGTGTGACAACGTGTGAATCCAGTCTCAAACTAAGAAAAAAGATTTTTAAAACGATTTTCAAATGGTTTTCAAAATAAACAAGGAGGATGCGATGTGTACGATCAACCGGAGCCAGTAACTAGACCCCAAATTACCACACTGTTATTTGATCTTGTGATATGTTAGAACAGCATGCTAGTGATAGGCTATGGATCTTCAGGAATTGCATGATAGAATTGCCTGATTATATGATGCATTATCTCTTATAGAATCCCTGATTGATTATGGTATGACGCTTTCGCGTGTGAATTGGCTATTGAGTGAATACGCTAAGTCAGATGCTGCATGGTTTAAATGATCTTAGAATAAGGGGTTTGTTCCTGCTGCGCAGCTCTTGTCTGAGTCAAACTATGGTGAGATTGAATCTGTTAGCCTAAGATTGTTTAAACTATGGGGTATGTGATTATATTCAAGCAATAGCCATCTGGCACCAATAGAGAGTCGCGTGACAGTTAGTGATATGGTGAGTCGTGTGGGGTCAGCCGGCCAGTTGAGTCATTGGATGAGAATGTGATGGTTTCCTTAGAATGGGTACGGTTCATAGCAGTTCGACGTGTGGAATGATTGGCCACTCTTGAGAGAGTGAGGTTAAGGCGAAGGTGCGCTCGAGATGCTGGGAGTTTGAGATCGAGAATTTGTATGAGGGTCTATCCGATTTTATTGTGTTTTAGTGCTAGTCGACTCCTCTGCTCAAATGTTGCTTGCTTTGTGCTCTGTAGGACCCGTGTCGATGAGGGTTAACCATCAAATGAATACGTTAAGTTACATGCTATAAAGGTTAAATAATCTTAGAGTGAAGGACTTGGTCCTGATGCACAACTCTAGTATGAGTCTAACCGTTGTAGGGTTGAGTCCTTTAGTCGAAGGATTATTTAAGATTTGTTGCATGTAATTGTATTCGTAAAGTTGTTAGCTGACATTGGTAGGGGTTATTCAGCAACTGATAGCAGAGGAGGCGTGGGAAGAATCCTAGGAGAGCCTAGGGAGTATTTTGTGCGATTGTTTCACTGTGGGGCATGTATCGGGAGGATATTTTGAGTAGGTCTTGGAGGACCTGAGATGATTCTTGAGGAAATTATGGATAGGCGTGGAATGTAGTATTGGGCCCGTACTACTGGAAGCACATGATCCATATTCAAATCAAGGAAAGTTTCAGGGATTCTAAGGACTGGTTGGGAGAGATAGCATGGTTTGATACCATGATTCGCGGTAACGGTTGCGGATCTGTCGATCTTTTGGTGATGGTTGCTCGGGCATGAGGATGGGTTGGTATTTTTTACAGACCCCGGTAGCGATATCATTTTTGGGTTGAGTGGTTCAGACCTAGATAAGTATGTTGGTTTAGAAGTCTCAAGGGTTTTGTTAGAGGTCGTGCATCGAGTCTCGAGACTCGAGAAGGGGGCGATGATTATGATCTGCTTGGGTTTTGCAGCTAGAAGTGGATTGGAATGTTGTTATCTGTGGCAAAGGTTATGCTTTTCCAGTCTTCCGGATTGGCGGTTGGAAATTCAGGCAAGGAGTGTATGTTTTGGATCGTAAGTCAGTACTGGTTTATGCTCCTGTAAGGGATCCTTAATGTTAAGTGGTCATTATTGGGAAATTCCGGAGGTCTTCAGCTAAAATTTAGGATTCTCTTTGGATTTATTTGATCTTTATCTGGAAGATCATCCTGTGTGTGTTATTCTTTCCAGGGTCAGGGATGGTTGTACCTGGCTGATCCGGTTGAGTTATGGGTTGGTTACAGCACCAGTGGGTGGTAGTTCGAACCCTAAGTGAGGGAGAACTAGATATTATGTTTCGAGGATTGTTGATATGTTTGAGTTTGTGGTATTGGAAGGGTGAATCATAGGGATTTGTAGTGCAAGTATGTGGAATATCGGTTCAGGATTTGCTCATGGCCAAGGCATATAGTAGGTAGCAATCGGATGTATGGGTCAAGAGGTTCATGGGTTGTTTCTCAGCAGAAAGTGGTTGGTCAAGGAGCTTATTGCAGCTCGTGGCTTTTTTTGAGTTGTCAATGATTATATAAGGAACTGTTGGTAGTTCGCACATAGGTCGCGGAGGGAAATTATCAGCTGGGTGTAAGGATTCCTAATATTAGTCTAGCTTAAGAAAATATTGATCTGGGAACCAGCTTTAGTTTGGTGAGTTCAACCCCACAAGGGTTTTGGTGACTTAAGTTCATGTGTTCGCGATTGTTGGTCGCATTGTTTGTCCTTCAACAAAGGATTTTGAAGGTTTTAGTGTGGCAGAAGAGGCTCTAAGGGTGTATCAGCTTATCATCGGATTTAGTATGTTTTATGTTCCTTTGGTATGTTTACCCTCAATGGTAGTGTGGGGTTTTGGTTCATGGCATGCTTGGGCTTGGTGACAATCAAGATCACTTTAGAAGTCTTCTCGAGTTGCTTGTGTATTGGAAGAATCTATTCAGTCTCAAGCAAGTATGGGATCTTGTTGTGATCGATCATAAGGATGTATTTTGTTAATGATCGAGGTTTGCCGTCCGATAGAATTATGGTATTCCTGCCCTTCTTGGATGAGGTTATGGGTTCCCTAAGGATGCACATTGTGGTAATCCTTGGTGTGTTTGTGGGCTGGGCAGGGTAGCCTTGTGGCTTGGATCAAATTATTTGCATGGTTCTTTTGGGTGATTCTTATTGTATTCTTGGATCACAAAGACAACACTGCTAGTCTGCTACACTCGGCGTAGATCTCCAGGTGAGAAAACGGGATATTCCAACCCTATGCTCAGTGTATAGAAAGCTACCCTCAACGTAGCCCCAGAAGTCCAAAAAATATAATAAGCTCTTAATACAAAAAGCTAATCCCTCAAACTTTCAGGTGTGGACCTTTACAATGTCTTAATGGATAAAGTTTCCAACTTTATCCATTAAGATACTCCAATCAAGCAAGATCTAAACTTTATGCACTAAAATGACCAAAAATTCTAACACAACTTGCATGGCTTAATGAACAAGCACCAAAGCACAACTTTCCAAGTCCAACAAGTCCCAAGAGTGTTACATAGTGCTTAAAAGGTGCTGGAGTTCTCTCAAATCCAAAACACAAGCTTAAGGGACCAAAAGTAAAAAAATATGACAAATAACAAGATTTATGAAATCAATAAGCAAGTTAGAAACTTTACACTTACAATGGTCCAAAAATGAAGCAACATTGTTGGATCTATACTTTATCCCTTCTTTATACATTTTACAAACACCTTGTTCTTCAAAGATTAAACCACCAAATGAAGAAATTAAGCTCACAAAAGATACCAATGCTCAAAAGATGCAAGAGGGGGCTAGGGTTTCTCATGGAATGATCTGAGGGTGATGAAGGTTGGTCATGGAAAGGATCCTAAGAAGTTAGGGCCTGTAAATATGGCTCATAACCCTATGATTAGGGTTGTAGTCTGTTACGGCTACGATCGATGTAGCTTAACCTACGCTCAACATAGGTCATTAAACGCACGTCTAAAAATCCCTCACCTACGCTCGACGTAGGGGACTATCATATGCTCAACGTAGGGAAAAATTTCCCAATTTCCATTTCAGCTTTGAACAATCATAACTTCTTTGTTTCCAATGATATTTATATCCACGCAATGGTAATGACAAGCCCGATAATTCTATCTAATTGCTTTTAAATTAAAACATACCGAACTAATGACACACAATACTTGTCATTAGAGGCCTATTTTCTAGTAGTGGCGATTATTCACATCTAAACAATTTTGTTCTGCCTCTAGTTCTTCGTTTACAAGTTAATTATTTTTTTAATCATAAAAAATCAATCTAAAGATATTATTATTAATTTTTAAGTAAATTAATTATGATTAAATGAAGTAATTGGTTATATACATGTTCTATAAGTATATACATGTAATTTTGAAGATTTATAATGATATACATATAATTATGAAAGTTTAGAAGGATATATAGAGACAATTCTTCCTAAAATCAATGTCATGAAATAGTTGATGGTTGAGTTCATCTTAGTTTTATATATTAATGTTGGAAAATGGTTGAAGGTTAGAGAAGACCTAAAACATTCATTTTATAAGTAAATGATCAACAACAGAGTTTGCTTAGGGTGGGAGTAAAATGGTGGCACTTATTGTTAACATGCTTACAATTTTTTTTTATTTTTGGTTTCCTTAGGTGCTATAGTGTTTATTAATGTTAATGTGACCACATGTAACATTGCACTTTAACCTCTACACATTAAGTATGAGACTGAATGCTGTAAAAATATAAATATGTCTGTTTTGGTAGGATCTCACAATCATGATTTTGTAAAGTACATGAAAATAATCGTATATAGGATCCCGACATTGACAAGCTTAGTGTTAAACCTTCAAAGTTTATATTAATATGTTCTCATCCCAAACAAATAAACATATGCAAAAAATTTAGTCACTTTATGTCACTTTGGTTAAATTTAGCCTAACTAACACTATTGATAACCTATTCCAATGTGCCAAAAGATCTATATACTTACAAGCTAGAAATACGAAATCTAATAAAACCAAAATTGAATTCTCCATCTTGAACGAACCCTATAGATGATTAGTTCGAAATCGATATCCCCCAGCGTGGACACTTTCTAGTGCCATTTGTCCAAACAAATACGGTGACTGAGCTTCACTGGTAGTATCATCATTACAAATTTTCGTTGTGGCCCTCCCAAGAGCTTGAAGAACATCCTCCTTGGTCACAAAATCGCCACCTAATTAACAACATACCCAAACATACTCAAGACATTTCCATGTCTAAACACTTAAGTAAATGTTAAGTTTAGCACAAACCTCTACGAGCAGCAAGCATTACAGCCTCATTAGCTATATTTTCAAGATCAGCCCCAACTAACCCCGGTGTACGTGAAGCAACAAGGTCACAAATGACTCGTTTGTCCTCCTTGCCCATGGGCACCTTTTGTAAATATAAAGAAAAAAAATTTGTTCTTCCATCTTCATCCGGTTTACCCACAACCACTTTCCTGGAAAACCGACCCGGTCTAATCAAAGCAGAATCCAACAACTCCGGTCTGTTAGTAGCCGCTATAACCACCACAGTTGCACCCTTCTCAAATCCATCCATCTCAGTCAAAAGCTAACAAATCAAACACCACATTTTATGTCAACTACTTCCTTGTTTAACTTTGACAATGAGCATTAAATTAAAATAATATTTACCTGGTTTAAAGTTTGATCACGCTCACTATTGAAAGATGTTCCACGTTGCCCTCCAACATCATCTATCTCATCAATGAAAATAATAGACGGTGAACGTTTTCTGGCATCGTTGAAAAGATTTCGAACACGGGCAGCCCCGTTACCAACAAAAATCTCGACAAATTCACTAGCAGACATCGAGAAAAACGTCACATCAGCTTCTCCGGCCACTGCACGGGCCAACAATGTTTTTCCGGTTCCTGGGGGACCCGCAAGCAGAACCCCTCTTGGTAATTTCGCCCCAAGTTTCATATATTTACTATCTCCTTTAATGCATGAGACAATCTACAAATGTTCAACAACATGCATGCAGGATTTATAATCTTTCTTTCATTATATATCCCCAAGTCATAATAAGCAAGGGGGACAAATTAGTAAATTACCTCGAGAAGTTCAGCCTTGGCAGAATCAACTCCTTCCACATCATTGAAAGTTACGCATTGTTTCTTACTCGGGTTTCTATCTTTTCTTTTTCCAAAATTTTTCCAACTTTGAAGGTAATACCATGAGTGCCAGATACGCAACAAGGTAGGGGCAAAATCTGACATTCGAAGCAAGAATCTTTTTATTAATTTTTTTTATTGATTTGAATGAAAGCTGCCGTGTCAATGGGCAGGCGAAGAAGGCACCAAAAAATATATCCTTCATTGCTCTGGATAAATGCTCAGGGTCAACTACCCAACGCGATGCCTGTTGTTTTGGTAGGACAAATGCTACAAGTACACAAAAAGAAGCTCCGACAATAACCATGCATATCTTTCGTCTCAGTTTACCATCAGACCTCGTTATTGTTTTATGAATTTTTCTTTTTGCCTCCTGTATGTCTGTAATGTAACTCAAAAAAAATTATGCAATGAATTTCTGTTGTCAATGTAATACCCACATTTAAAAAAATGTTACATACCATCTTCGGTCCCTGCAACAGTACTGTCCTCTTTGGCCGCCCATCCACACACGAACTTCACAGATGATGCAGAAAGTCAGTAATATTACAGTAGTCGCACATAAAAAATACCCATATATATATTGGCCACAACTATGCACATAAACAGCAATTTCATGAAGAAGAAATTAGTTTAACAAATGCAGTCCACGAACCTTTTTATCCATTTGCACCACATCATCCCAACCGGACAAAGGGCCCCAAAAATCAGCGCAGCTCATGTTGCCACCAAAACCCTTGTGGTCCTGAGGAAAATCGTGTAAAGGAAAACGAAATCTAAGAGTAATAACATGGTTTATATGACTGCATAAGATTACGGGATGCAACATAGGAAAAAGAAAAATAAATAGTATTCCAGTTGACCTTTTTAAGGACCGGAGAGATGGGCACGGCAGCATTGTTCGAAGAAAGACGAAGAGACAGAGGACGCGTCGAGGAGGATGTTGGCGGAGTATATGAGAAACTCTTTTTAGAGCGAGAAGTATTCAAGAAACTATTTTTAAAGAGAGGAGGCTGTTGAGTGGATTTTAGGGCAATGATCATCAGCGGAGGGATCAACAAAAGCGGAGGGGTCAACAAAAGGTTTGCCGTCGTCGCCATGGAGGGTTTTGTCGTCTGCGCAGCGTTCAAGAAAAGGTTTGCCATTGTCATGGGGGCTTTTGGTATCTGTGCAATCATCATTGGGTGGTTCAACAAGAGGGTTGCCATCGCCACGAAGGGTTATTGTGTCTGCGCAATGGTTTTTAAGGAATGGAGGAGTGCGTATGTTTATGGATGGCTGGAGCAGAGCAATAGCAGACTCAAGAGAGACGTAGGTTTTGTAAGGTATCAATCTGATGATACCTTGATGCCCAAGGAAACAAAGAAAATAAACAGAATAACAGGGGAATATAAAGAAGAAAAACGAACTTATAATTACTTGGTGAAGAAGGTCTAATTTGTTAGAAAAACTTAATTAAAACATCCTAAGCATTGAACTTAATTATGCTAATAAAACTGTAGCATCATCTAACACAAAACCTATGTAAAAGGGAGGTTCCAAAAATACCCCTGGGATTAAAACGTTTTAATTATGAATTATCCCAACATATTCCGATCCGCTAATTCAGAAGCTTGCACCATTTTTAGTCCTAGCAACCTTATTATCTCTTCAAACATGACATTTCTTTCTTCTCGGATTGCTACTTGTCTAGCAAGTTCTTGCTACTTGTCTAGCAAGTTCTATTTAATCTCCTCATGCCACGTTGTCTTTGACAAAATGAATCCATACAACACTTAACCCCTGACTTGGAATTCTTTAACCAAACACTAAATAAAATAAACTAAAAAAGATCAACCCATGATACATTGGCATGTTAAATAAACGATTAAACTAACAATCACCCCTTAATCGTTTATTTACACTCTTCACTCACAACCACGTTTCATCACCTTCTTTTCAAACCATCTTGACCTTCGCCACTATCACATCCAAAGTCTTCTCTCAATCACTATTGATTGTTCACAACACCCGTAACATGTAAAATGACATCTCGTTGGACATGTTCATTACCATCTTGATTTTTTCCGGATTCACAACCTTTTCCTCGACCACATCCAAAACCACCCGATTTGAACTTCCACCACCATATTGTTCCCATCGTGTTGTTTCTCCATTCCCTTTTGTTGTGACAGCCATACCTTTGTTGATTTCTTCAAATTCCAAGTCAATTTCTTCAAATTCCTACAAAATCCATGAAACATATATACAAATACATAAGTTTGCCGAACCAAAACTATGTTTGGCGCGAGCCCGGAATTTCGGAGTTGCATTCCTGTCTGCAAGTCGCGCCCATACATGAGTTCAGTTATTTTTGTCTACAAAATCCATAATTTGCACCCCCTTACGCACACAGAGATCTTGGAGTAAAACCTTAAGAAAAAGCTTGCAAATCTTTACACTACCAACATTATAAACACTATCATGGTTATAAACTCATTGAGAGTTTACTTTTTACTCCTGTGTGGGACACATTCCCATACTCATTTGTTTTGCTAAATTTTATTCCAAATACTCAACTTTGAGTATCGATATATCATTCACTCATGCTCCTATTTGGATACATTATAAATTGTATCGAAGCTCTCACGGAGGAGAACATAACCCACTAAGAATTATTAATATATATAATATATATTTATATTTAAATGTATCCAAAGTTTTAAAAAAAATCATAAATTTTATTAAATTTTCCAACAGTACCGGTGGTGACCGGAAAACTCACCTCTGTCGGTGGTAGGTCGTTGGCCAAAAAATAAAGGTGGGGTGTGAGGTGTGATATATATATATATATATATATATATATATATATATATATATATATATATATATATATATATATATATATATATATATATATATATATATATTATATATATAGGGAAAGGATCAAATGAGAACACCTAAAAGGTTGAGAACACGAGAACAGTTCTGAACCAATCAATAGATAAGGGCATATAGGTAAACTTGTCTTTTAATTAAATGATATTTTCCTAAATTTTTGGGATTCTAATTGACTGTTACCAAAAAAATAATTTTTTTTTCCATTTTCTTTATATCATTAATGAAAGAGAAAAAAAAGTTATCAATTTAAAATGATTTTATCTTGCTTTACGTGATTATTGTCCATAAACGAATAAATATCAAACTAATTTATTGAGTATACAATCGATTAAAAATATATAACAGTTAACTAATTTTGTAATTTAATTTTGTCAAATTGTGTCATATTCATAACTGAAAATGTCATGACTGGATTTGTCTTTTTTTTTGTTCATGAATTGATATCAAAAAATGTTTAAGAATTCATCATTTCGTTGCAAATGAATACGCCTTTTATTACAATCATAAATGAATACAACTCTAATCATACATGAATAAATTTACAAGAATACAAAAAACATCTAAATTCCTATATTTTCAGTAGTTATATTCATATAAGATTATAATGTGAATCATAGATGAATTACTACAACATTGTTTTTTTTTCTTCATATTTTCTTGCTGCTATCATACATATATAAACGAAGAGGGACGCCCTTGATCCTGCTATCAATTTCCATGCTTTAAGGTTATCCTTATTAGAAACATCAAGCTCTAAATTACACCTGTTCAAAACATAAATCATTAAGATATGAAATCATGTAATTATAATATACTTCTATTCATTGATGTTTAACTACAAATGAGACATTTGACATTGTATTCATATAAGATTACAACTGAAACTTTATCTAAAAAACATAGTTCTAATCATTAACAATTAATCAATCCGTAATACTGATTCACATCTATTACCCTCGTTTTTTTTCCTTGTTCTTTTCAAATGAATCAATCAAAACAAAAACCAAACCCGTTTTTACCCTTCTTCTTCCTTCCTATCAAGTTACAGTCAAGAACAAATTTTGTTTTGTTCTCGTGATTTCCTGCAAACAAGAAATACAACCATTGGGATTATTGCTTCATCTTCTTCATATCAACTTCCAACAAACAAAACACCAATCTAAATCTAGTAATATAAACCCATCGGTTTCTGTTGGAAAATCAAAGCCAAACACCCATCATTAAGCCCCATTGATTTACAGTCAAATTAAAAGTAAAAGAAAAAGAAGCGTTACTCGATGAACTGCCCCTGTCGTGACCCATCGATTTCTGTTGATAGATCGTTGTTACTGCCTGTTTCTTCGTCCCCTCGCACCTTCCTCTTCTTCTATCGAGCACCACGGCGAAAACCCTCACCGGAGCTGCTGTTTTCCGCTTGCCTTGCTCCATCGGGCCAAATGTTCTCCTCCCTTTCGCATATGCTACCGGAATCGAAGGAGAAGCAGCCAAAAACTGCTTGAGCAGCCCTTGCTGCACCTACCGAGACCAATGATGATGGGAACAGATCTTCGTGGTGGGTTGTAGGTGATGCCCAGATCGATGATGGCGTGAGTTTTATGAAACCCTAAAAAGAAGAGGTGGAAATATATACACGATAGATTAAAGGAAATATATGAACCGGTGAGAAATTATAGGAGATAGTAAAGTTGAAATTCCTGTTATGTCCTTCTAACCATTTAAAAGTTACATTTTAATGCCAACAGTTTAAGAATTTTTCATAAATCCCCCTTTCAATAATGACCTTAGATTTAAGTATTTAAATGGTCCAGATTTGTTCTCGCGTTCTCAACCTTTTTAGTGTTCTCATTTGATCATACTCCTATATATATATATATATATATATATATATATATATATATATATATATATATATATATATATATATATATATATATATATGCTTAGGTTATTCTATTCAAAGTAATTATTGTGTTATTGTATGCATAAATGTGGGCCAATCAATTTTACTTATTTTAAGAAAGTGATTAATACATATTATTGAATTAAATATAATTGAAAAATATCATCTAATTTAATTACAAGGGTATTTTAGTCAATTAATATACATTTAATAAAGGAAAATTGCATATTTTAAGGGATCATAGATTCTATTAATTTTAAAAATCCGATTTTACGAATTAAAATTCTTTTAATTCGGACATTCTGACAGAATATGTTTATGAGTATATTCAAAAATAAAAATATTCTTGAACCTATTTCTTGATCATGACTTTAAAAACTTCTTGTAGAATAACAAATTCTTGAACAATCAATTGAAAAATAAAAACAAAAAATACATTATTTCTTATAGAATACAGGTAACAATTGTTAAAAATTATATTTATTGTTAAAGAAGAAAACTAAAAAAACTTTCAAAACGGGAAAGAAAACATCAAAATCTAACAAGGACACTAATACATTCTAAAATAATAATGTTGCTTAGAATCACTTTCAATTTTGTGGTCCGTTCTTCAAGCATCAACTTCTGTGAAAACAAAATCAAATTGTAGTTTAGATTCCAATAATGCATTAGCAAATGAAAAATAAAACACTAAATTCCTTTGGAAAAATATGTGGATTGTGAATTGCACCAAAACCAATAACCGAGAATTGTAGAACATGCATAAATTAGTGAGAAAATATCCATACTCCATTCCAACAGAATTAAAATTCATGATTCCATTCCAACATAATTGGAATTCGTGATTCCATTCCAAAAGAATTGGAATCGCACCAATATCATCCATTGAATCATCTACAGAAACAAATTGATTTTTATCATATAAGAAGAAGTAAATTTGATATGAAAATAGTGATAAACTACCTTCACTTTGTACTTTACATATAAGAAAAAGGTCATTGACACAACCTCTTTTACACTATACCTATTTGCAACTATAGTTACTGTTTAATAAGTAAAACCTAGGTAGCTGAAGTCAGTCTTTTTCTCTACTATGTTTAAGTAATCAAACCTCACATATACAATTCAATAGAAAAACAATAGCCAATGCAAATCCAAATGAATTGACTCTGACCGGGATATGTTCTACAATCACAATTCAATTATTTCAGTCTTGTATGATAAAATTAAAATCTCCTCTCAAAGCAGCATAAATAGTTATTAAAAACTCAAAATTCACTCTATAAACATCCAATGAGGCTGAAAATAGACAAAATTAAAACCTACCAGATATGAAAACCAGATGGTAAATTAGTTTGCTGAAAGAAAATCGAGTCCAGGCGTGGTGACTTGAAAACAGAAACCTCAATTTTTGACAGAAAAAAG